GGGGCAGCGCCCCCCGCCCTGCCCCTCTGCGAGCGAAGGGGCGGGAAAGCGGGGGCGGCCGCGGCGCTGAATAGCGCCTTTAAATTACTGCTGACACCTCTGCCGCAGCTCCCTAAAATCTCAATCAACAATCCATTAGGGCTCGCCGGGAGTAAAACTAAATCCTCGTTTAAGTGTATTTATCCAATCTCTTTTCTCTCTTTCAAATGCTAAATCTATTTCAGCATATGCCCCCTTCTTTCTCTCGCCTTTCTCTAAAGACTGGCAGCCTATACTACTCTTGTAAATATGAAAGATGCTAATCATATGACATATCACGTCTCAGTCGGAGCCTGGAATAAAGCCTTGAGATTTGGGATCATTGCCTCCAGACAACAGCTTCATCAGCCGGAAAGTTGGTTTTTTTTCTCCTTTCCTTCAACTCTCAATCCCTTCTTTGTCTGGGGGAAAATGCAGCCAACTCGAGCCACCCTGGCCATATGGTTCACTCTGTGTTTTCTTAGTTGAATTCTGTATTGTTTGTGACTTGCGAAGGGTTTTTTTTTCTTTCTTACTTTCTTTTTTTTTTTCCTTGGAAGTGTGTATAAAGACATAGGAGAGGCTGCCTGTGCTGGGCAGCTTTGCAGGGTTGCTGCATATACTTCACGTGGTCCTTTCGTGCACTCCTCCTGCAGCCACTTCACTGCTACTGCTCTGCGTAAGAGCTAAAATATAAAGTCCCGGGCACACATTTAATAGCAACCCAGGTGCTTCCAGAGACCTTGGGGCCTGGGACTTTTTTTCCCCTCGGAAGGATGAAAATGCTGCTTTTAACTTCTTCTATTTTGCTTTGAAGCAGTGCCTGCACCCATCCCCAACCTGCTGTGGACTTGTGGCAAATGTGTAAAAGAGGGTATGCACCTTTCAGCAAGCCTATTGTAAAAGTAGCACCTTGGCCAAGGGAAGCAGGGCAGTGCTCAGCAGTAAGGAAGAGTGCCTTTTAAGATGCGTACGAATTAGGAGCTGAATGAGTTGGGTGCACTCGCGTTTGGATAGCCCCTGTTTGATAGCAGCCTGCCAAATTCTCTTTCTCTCTTTCATTACACAAACCCCCAAAAAGGCCCTTTCACCAAATCATTAAATTCTACAGAGGTGGTCAAGCTAGTCCTGCTTTTCATGCGTTTGAGAAAGAAAAGGGTCCTTGAAGTTTAGAAGATGCCCAAGGAAAACTCATTGAATGACATCAAAAGAGCGAGTTTCCATAGCTGTTGAAGCACGAGAGCTGTGTAGCCGCACAAAGGCGGGTCGGGGCAGTGGGACTGTCCCACTGCTCTATCCCAGCACAATTGGGTCACTGAAATAGGGAATTAATTACCATTGGAGAGTGGGCAGCCCATTCACTGCTGGCTGAGTTTTATTAAACGCCAATATAAATAACAAAACAACTCTTGTGGCTGCACTATTCCTACACGCCAAAGGAAGGATTATGTTGGGGATTAACATCTTAAAGTCTATGAGACTTTCTGACTCAAGGCTCGGAGCTGGTAATCGTATTTGTCTCCTGGTTCAGCGATTAGTGCTCTCCCCGGCGCACCTTCGCCTGCGTGGCCAATGTCCCTTTTTGCAGGCACCGGGTTTTTCACACAATCGGCTGTTCTTTTCCCCACGGCTATAGAAAAGAATAAGAAAACTGAAGCGTGTTCACGCGAGCTTCAAGCTTCTTCTCTTCTTCATGGGAAAGGAGGGCACCGGCGGCCTTTTTTCACAAGGGGGGTGTTGGGAGGGATGCAAACTGCCTTTGGGGCTGGGGGCAGCAGGGGGGACGGGGCACAGGCAGGGCTCTGGCTCGCAAAACCACGGGCCTGCACC